CGTTTTAGTGGCAAGTGAGTTTGGTAGGAATATCTGCATTGATGAGCAGTATTTAAGATTATATAACTGGATAGTTTGAAGCGCAGTATACCCTCTAAAAACCCTTTTCAGATGAAAATTCACGAGATTTTTTTCTTACCTCTGTTATCCATCTGTCTGATGTCAACGTTATACTTCAAACAACATCTTCCGGATAACCAAAAGGCCCAGGATGTTGATATTTTGGTGGTGAAATGTTGAGATGAATGACCTTGACTTATATTCACGGTTGCAAAAAAAAAGAACGCATAGGGTGACGATATTAAGCAATTAACATGCTAGAACGAGGGGATACGATATATTTGGAATTGAATGACATTGATTAGCCTTCAAGGTCACAGGTCAAATGTGAAAAATCCTTTAAATAAATGACTGTTTCTGAATATCAAAGATGATATATAGCCAATAACATGCTGGGATGAAGGGTTATAAAATATATTCAAATGAACTTAAATGACCTTGACTCAATTTTAGAGTGACAATATGTTAAAATTGTTAATCATCTTCTAAATAGTCAAGAAACCTAGGGTGATAGCATTTAGGCACTCACATGCTATGCTAATGGGCTGTCTAGTTTATTCAAATGAATGATCTTGACCAAATTTCAGGACCATATGTTTAAATTTGTTAAAACATTTAATTGACTTCTAAGTAATAAAAGAGTCTGGCTGAAGTTAATGACATTTTGTGATGTAAATTAAAGGTTTAAATCAATATGATGTGTTTGAAGTGAATAAATGGCTATAACAACCATCTTACAATGTAGTTCAGATAAAAAAATGTCTTCCAACGAAGATTCACATAGATAAAAAAAAAGTTGTAGAGCAATAAGATGTGCCAAAAAGCCCCTAAACATGCATAGTTGGATATAACTTCCTTATAGTCTTTTTGATAAACATTTATTTTTTCCAAAAGCTTGAAAAATTCAAAATAAAATTCCAGGTGAGCTATCAAGGCCCATGGGCCTCTTGTTTGTGTTTCAAATTATGTATTTAACAAGTATTTAACTAATTGATATATTCAAAGTGACTGTAATTGTATTTTAGCATTCATGTTTTGATATTTGATATTTTTAGGTCACTTGAGCTTTAGCTCAAGTGACCTATTGCTATCCGTTTTATCTTTTATCTTTTCAGGTAAATCAGAAATCCAATATGGCCGCTAAGGCCGCCATTTTGAAAAACTATTTCAAACTTAAAGTCAAGTTCTGCTGGGCCGATTGAACTGAAAGTTGGTAGGAATGATCGACTAATGGTCCTGACAAAGTATTGTTATTTTTCGAGTGGTTCAGAAATCCAATATGGCCGCCACGACCGCCATTTTGAAAACCTATTTCTAACTTAAAGTCAAGTTCTGCTAGGCCGATTGATCTGAAACTTTGTAGGAATGATTGACTGATGGTCCTGACAAAGTGTTGTTGTTATTTTTTGGGTCAATCAGAAATACAATTTGGCTGCCATGGCCGCTATTTTGCAACTAAGTTCTAATAGGCCGATCTCACTTAAAATTGGTCTAGGAATGATCAGCTCATGGTCCTGACAAAGTTAAGTTAACATTATACTATTTTTTACTCAAATTGGTACATATTTCAACAACAAAAATAAATACTGTAGGACTCAGGTGACCGTTAAGGCCCATGGGCCTCTTGTTACTATTCCTTAAGTATATATATATATGTCTTTGGTCACATTGTTATGATATATTGTGGCTCAAATTTCCTTACAAATGTGTAATCTTTCTAATCTCACTTCTAACCAATCACATGTCGAGGAATATTATGAAAAAAATAATTAAAACTGATTTCACCTGTATACCAATATCATTTTTACTAAAAATGTTCTGCTTGAAATATAAAGTGGCTTCTTATTTTGAGTAATTCCATGATGATGTTCAGTTGTTATGCACATGTATTTCTATAGTGCCATATTTAGCCAAACTCTTGTAACTTATGTTACGCTTGTTTTGACCAATAAAATGTTGAATTATCCTCTCAAATTATGTTAATTTTCTATTCAATTAAAGAGATCCATATTGTTTATCATGCTTATCTAACTGCAGTTATAGATATTCATTTTTATCAAAAAGACAATGAGCTGTTATGAGTTTTTCGTTTCAAAATTTCAAAATTAATAAACTTTCTCTATTGAGATGAAGAAGCAAAATATGTTGAGGAGTTGTGGAAATTCTTTGTACCATATGTTTTTATGACACTGTCAATTTATTCACACTATTAAGCCGACATTAGTAAGAGATTCATTTTCTTGTTGAGTGCCATTCCTTCAGTGCCTTTTACTTTAATACCCGATATCTTTCCAAAATCAAATTATGACATGTACGCCTTTTGAGCAAGCTTGCTGAGGCTGGTATTACATAGAAATTATAATTTTAGAAATATACTTGTTGCTTTAAAAGAATATTTTCTCAGATATACATGGTGTGCTATGATACATTTGGAAAGATTATGCATATCTATGAGGTCATGGTTGTTCTTGGACTATCAGTCTTTATGATAAATTATTTTTCTCAGTTTTTACTGTTAATACATGTATATTGACTTGAGCAAGGTTAGGCCCTTAGTGTGAGTTTTTGATTGTCTGACCCTCGGTCTGATTATTTGGTTGTCTTAGTAACGGTTTGTCAACTAAAAATAATTGCCTATTTGGTTGGAGATTTCTGTATTTCACCATCTAGGTAGGGGAATATTTTCTACTATTAATCAACATATCAGATTTGTTTGAAGTCAATAGACAAGAAATTATTCATTACAGCTAAAAGCCAGCCAAGGTTGACCAGTATCCTCAAATATTGTAAAGCTGAATGTCTTACAATTCTTTCATTAATCGTAATCCTGTCAGGACATGCCGACTGACTATATTCAAATGATATATTGCACATTCTGGTTAAGTAACAAAGAATAATACAACTTGATAAAAAAAAAAAACAGTTAGAAGGTAATAATTCTCCACGCAATGTTTGATTATTTAAATGAATAATGATTTAGGCTAGAAGGAACAATACATGATTACATCTTCTTGTCAATCGCAGTACGGTGATAATTGTGATCTTGCAAATGCTGGATACATTTCGAGAGTGTTCGTTAGTTTTATTACGGCCGTCAAGGATGCGGCGCTGCAATCGCATTGTTTACAACACGGGAACGGTTTAAGTTCAAGCGAACGATTACATGTTATAAGTATTATAATTAACATGTCAGCATGTTTTCCTGTGAATTACTGAATGTGATTGATGCAGCGGCTAGGAAGGATTCTCAAACAAGCTGATCCAGTGAGTGTAGGTTTCGATGATCTTGTTGGATTACGAGGTGGACCGCTTCAAGATGGTCATTTGAATCAATAGCACGTTCGTAAAACTCTCCATTCGTCCTGATTTAATTGAAGGGTTTTAAAAGTAAATGGTCTAGAAATACTCAGGACGAAATGTCTCTTCCTTTCTCTCAATGATGCAGACGGGCAGCTGAATCGTACGATATGTCCGCCACATTTAAGTATTTTTTCATGATCCCCAAGCGAAGTCTGTTTTTTAGACTAAAGTAAGAAAACATTGGACTAAGTCCAGAATTAGACTTAAGTCCGTTTCATGATCCCGGGGCCCGGTCATCGTCCGTACACTATAAATAATAAATGAGAATCTTGGCCATGTAACGAATTCATTAAAGAACATTGATATAAAAATATGTACAACCCTAATATGTATAGGATGCTTTGTGAAATCGTCAAGTGGAGGTACATCTGAGTGTACGTCCAACATCATTTCAACAACAAACAGCCTACCGAGATCACTCGGCGAAACAATTCACAGACAATTAATTTATCATTCGTCTCTGATATGGGCTAGAAACCATAGATATGGAATCAATACGTATACTCGGTAAACAAGTATGCAAATATGTATTTTTTTACTCAACATTATTATCTACTGCTGATTTATCGTAGCTAATCCCTATAGATTACAACGGAAAGCTCGATTAGAATAGTTTATTCTTGCGTTTCGTATCGCCTACTTTCGTATTTCTTTTCAAACAGTGAAACTATTTTCGTTCCGTTCTGTTTAGGCCTTGTTTCATTCCGTTTTTATTCCGATCTCGTTGTGTTTCGACTGCGTTTTCATTCCATTCCGTTTGTCAACTGAAACGCTGACACCCCTGTACTAGTATATATTGTATAGGGGTTTTAGTAATCGGCAGGGAAACTCAAAATGTCTGAAACTCTATAGTATCTCAATTGATCCAGGAAGGGAGACTTTGGGTTTTGTTTTAGGATTATCGTCCTCGCAACAGCCAGTGTCATATGAGAACGCGCGCCTAGGGAGACAACGCCTGAAACAGAAATAGAAAAGAAAGAAGACAGGAAAAGTAGAAAACGAAAAGATACGAAATGTTGCATTGGGAGTAGCAGATTCATTTTGGTGCCTTCCATGTTCTCTTTGTAGATGATGTGGAAAAACGTCCCGATTCTGCAGGGGGCCACACATTAGTCGCCTTTTACGATACAGCTGGCGTATAGAAGACAAGGAAGTAACCATCTCGATTCTGCAGGGTGGGGAGGGGGACGGTTAATCTACCTATACTATTCTGCAGGGTGGGGAGGGGGACGGTTAATCTATCTATACTATTCTGCAGGGTGGGGAGGGGGACGGTTAATCTACCTATACTATTCTGCAGGGTGGGGAGGGGGACGGTTAATCTATCTATACTATTCTGCAGGGTGGGGAGGGGGACGGTTAATCTANTAGAGCACGGACTGGGGTGTACTTGTTGTGTACCATGTAACGATTCACTGGTTTTCATGAATGTTTATGTTAAACATGAGTGAATTCGACAGTAACATGTATAGGTTTCTATTACTTCCTGGTATTGAACACATTAGTGTATAGCCAGTGTAAGAACAGAATGTAAATGTACGTCGCAGCAGCGGCCCTTGTGTATATAAAAGTGGGTAGGTTCGTGACACCCCAGTAATCCTGCGGCGAGAGAGAAGCTGTGTAATGGCGTCGCATTCTCAACTACTGGTCGTTATTTTCCTTTTCTTGTGCAGGTATAATGCAGGTACGTCAAACATTACATCATATATCATATACCATATATCACGTTCGTCACATTTAAATAGATTGGTTTAGTTGAATCATAATAATTCTGGTTCAGTAGCATTAATTCAGTGTTTGACTTATAAACTGAGGATAATTCAGTATTTGACTCGTGGTTTTAGGACAATTCAGTATTTGACTCATCAATTGAGTACAATTCAGTATTTGACTCGTAAATTGAGGACAATTTTGTGTTTGACTTATAAATTGAGGACAATTCAATATTTGGATAATAAATTGAGGACAGTTCAGTATTTGACTTATAAATTGAGGACAATTCAGTATACGACCCATAAATTGAGGACAATTCAGTAGTTTACTTTATAAATTGAGGACAATTCAGTATTTGAATTATAAATTGAGAACAATCCATAGATTGAGGACAATTCAGTAGTTTACTTTATAAATTGAGGACAATTCAGTATTTGACTCATACGTTTAGGATAATTCAATATTTTAACTCATAAATTGAGGACAATTCAGTATTTGATTATTATATTGAGGATAATTCAATATTTGACTCATAAATTGAGGACAATTCAGTATTTGATTAATAAATTGAGGACAATTCAGTATTTGACTTATAAATTGAGGACAATTCAGTATTTGACGCATAAATTGAGAACAATTCAGTATTTGACTCATAAATCGAGAACAATTCAGTATTTGACTCATAAATTGAGGACAATTCAGTATTTGACTCATGAATTGTGAACAATTCAGTATAAGACTTATCAATCAAGGACAATTCAGTGTTTAACTTATATATTGAGGACAGTTCCGTGTTTGACTGATAATTTGAGGACAAGTCAGTGTTAGACTTATTTATTGAGGACAATTCAGTATATGACTTATACATTGAGGACAATTCCGTATTTGACTCATAGATTGAGGATAATTTAGTATTTCACTTATAAATTGAGGACAATTCAGTGTTTGACTCATAAATGGAGGACAATTCAGTATGTAACTTATAATTTGAGGAAAAATTCAGTATTTGACACATAAATTGAGGATAATTTAGTATTTGACTTATCAATTAAGGACAAATCTTTTAAATAATTATATTTCTACGTTTGTTTGCATTTAAACACTGTTTGTCACAAACAAGTATGGCAACGCAGAAGAATATGTACTTTTGTGTACCTCTAAGACGGTGGTAATTGTGATTGGGTACAAAAACAACCCACAGATATCATCGGCTTCATTATCATTTATTTGTAGCTACTATCGGCGCCCATACTTGCCAATAGTTATTGTGGACTAGTATATCAATAAGCACAAAAGTTATTCTTCATTGATACCGTGGGACCGCGTTATTCACGATAACGTTGGAAACACGATAACATATGAAATATAGCATTCAATTACAAATAATTAAAATTTGACTGAGCGTCGTTAAACTTAGTCGGGTTATAAGTAACTAGTTATTCATAGAGAGCTAAAATAGTTCAAAAAGGTAAAATATGAAAGTTTAGTTAGAGATATTATGCATAAATGGAGTAAAAAAGTCAGATTAATTGAATGACAGTTTATAAAAAGACCAACGTCTTTTATATACATATGTAGTTGAAAAATGCCTCCAAGTCTACGGAAGTGAAAAGGGTTTTCCTGTCTGTGACATGACATATTTATCACGAATGTATCTTTAAGTCTTATCATTCTTCAAAATGTACTCCACTGTAATGTCCCGTATACCCCACATATCCACGCTCTTTCCACGTCACAGCTCCCATACATGCATGCATGTATCACACAAACAAAGGTAACTGTGACCTTAATTTGACCTTTATCATTTAAATACTAAAATAATAGTTCCGGAGCATATCGCGGCCATTGTTTCTTGGATAGCCATCCAAATTTGCATATAGGTACAGCTAAGTAAGGAAATGTCTTTAGATGTGAAGGTGATGTGGTTATAGTATGGTGTTATGAAATGAGGTCAACGACCAGCTGTTTTACCTTATCCTCAAGTACTAACACTTTTTATACAGGTGTGCGCACGGTGTGTGCACGAACAAAGCTATACTAGGCGATTACATCTAACGCACATCCGTGCTCACGTTGGACGAACGGTGTGCGATGGCAATCGTGGTTGATATAAATAGAGGAATGGCTATACAAATTAATATGATTTCGTTTATAAAGTAATTTTGATTTAAAGTATGTTACCATATATTAACGAAATCTGTAGGTTTGTCTTTAAATAAAGGCTTATTTGAAAACTTGGGTTTTCATGTTTACGTTCAATTGTATAAAGGAGACAAATGCACACGTGTTAGTATACACATCGGCAGGGTCCAATACACATATACAGCATAGCCTCTTGGTTAACGTAATTATATAGGTGTTTCTCGTACCCGGGAAACTTGAGTAACCTTCCATGAGAAAATACCGCTGGTGACTCAAACAAAGAAACTATAGATTCAACTCATGTCGATCGACACATCGTCGGCATATGTCACGTTTTACAATGTACAGCTGTACACCTAACGCGATTCAAAATTACCATAATGTGCAACAGTTTGGCAAATAACTAGTTTACGATACATCGTATATTATTTTACCTCATGTACATAAAAGGGACTGGATAAGAGAAATCGACGTAATTTTGATTTAAAGCATGTTACCATATATTAACGAGATACCTAGGTTTGTTTTAGATAAAAACATATTTTAAATGTTGGGTTTTCATGTTGATGTACAATTGTATAAAGGAGATAAATTCACGCGTGTTGGTATACACATCGGTAGGGTCCAATACAAATATACCCCTGGTAAACGTTACTTGCTGTTTCTCGTCACACGGGAGACTTGAGTAACCTTCCATGAGAAAATACCGCTGGTGACTCAAAGAAACTAAAGTTTCAACTTATGTCGATCGACACATCGTCGGCATACGTCTCGTTTTACAATGTACAGCTGTACACCTAACGCGATTCAAAATTACCACAATGTGCCACAGGTTAGCGAAAAACTAGTTTACGATACATCGTATATTATTTTACCTCATATACATAACAGGGACTGGATAAGAGAAATCGCCGTGAAACAGTTTTACGCGTGTTCATGTTGACTTAACACAATCTTTTTCCCCATAGGTGATTTAGTTATGGTAATTTTAGATTAAGTGTTCAAATTCTTGTTTCTATACAGCAGCACAGGTAGACCAGGAGTTTGACGTCCGCCTTGAAAACGGTCTGTACAACAACAGTGGCCGGGTAGAAGTGTACCATGACGGACAATGGGGCGGGATCTGTGGTGATTCCTGGAACTACAATGATGCAATTGTTGTTTGCAGAAAACTTGGATACAAGTAAGTATCTAATTGATTTATATAGTCTTGATAAGATGATAATTATTCTTTGATAGTTTTCGCCTGTTTTTGTATTATTTTACGGCCCATTGACAATTTATGTCATAGAGGACCAAACAGCACTTAGCAGAGCCAAGGTCATACACTTACAATAGACGTTCATGAAAGTGAAGGCAAATGTTAAAAAGACGAAAAATATGAACATCAATAGCAAACAATGGGTTTTGTTTTATTATGTTTAACGTCCTATTCACAGCTAAGGTCCTTTAGGGACGTGCTTTAATGTGTGTAATGCGTGTTTGTGTGTATGTATGCCGGATGCTGGGTATGTTGGTGTATTTACGTCAATGCGATAGTTTGGATCTGATACTAACTGTAGAGTGCTACCTCACTGAAATATCATACCAAAGGCACACAGCACAGCATTTCGACCGGTAACGTTATACTGACAACGGGTGAACCAGTTGTTGACATCACATCAATGTCAGTTGTGTAAGCGTGCATGTATGTACAATGTATGTATGTATACCGGAGGTCGGGAATGTTGGTATAGTTGTCTCCCTGTATAGTGCTAATCTGATGACGACTTTATAATGCCATCTCACTGAAATACCATGCCGAAGGCACCCAGCACAGAATTTCACCCGCTCACATTATACTGACAAGGCTGAACCAGTTCTTGTTAATACCCTTAATGCTGAACGTTAGGCAGGTAAAAACAACTACCATTTTTAAGGACTTGGGTATGTCCTGGCCTGGGGACAGAAATACGATTTTGAAATATCTGTATGGTATTGGTTCATACCTTTTTACTTTAAAAATATTTTTTTATAATATCTGACTATTTTACTGTGAACCGATATATTTAAGCCTATTACCAGTCAGTGTATTTTTTTGGTGTATTAAGTTTTGCAATTGTTTCTTATTTAATATTGTTGTTAGAACCGATATGACTTAACTGTTGCTCGTCGTTGAACAATCGACTTAGTGTCACTCTAATCACTCTTTTTCAATAACCTCACTTGACAACTATGCTAATTTTTATACTAAAATGAGCATACATATATTTACAGCAATGGAACTACAGCTCACAGATTCCAGACCCGCGATTCCGCTTGGTATGAATTGTATGGAAATCAGACAGAACCAGGTCTTGTTTGGATGGATGGTGTGCAGTGCACTGGTACAGAGTCTGGCATTGCAGATTGTCCGTTTAATGGTTGGGGCAATGTAAACTGTAACGAATACTACGGCAGAGCGTATGTTTTCTGCTATGATGAAGGTAACGTTCATACGTGTGTGCGTTGTTTGTCAATTAGGTCCGACACGGGTTATTATGACTTGAGTTTTTTGTTTTTCAAACCGCCATCATCAGCTGTAGGCCATTCAAATCGCCCTTAGACAATTTTTATTATCGCAATTTTTCAGAAAGTGCTAGAGGAATCTTTCTAAAATTTAACATGTAGGTTTTCCTTAGCACGACGAACGCGGCCATTTTGGATTTTGATAGCTAAGGTTTGTTATCGCTTTTTTCTCAAAAAGTAAATACATGATCCTTCTCAAATTTAGTATGTAAACATGACCGACCGAGTCACTTGGCGAATTTGACGGTTTGGGAATTTCTCAGAAACTACTTGAGGGATCTTTCTCAAAATCGATATGTATGTTTTCAAGGACTCCAGTTGTGCTTGTTCACTTTTAAAACTGAAAGGAACAACAAAATGACCAACAAGCGGACATCTTGGAATTTGACAGTAAAGGTTTATTTCTATTTCTGAGAAAGTACTTGAGGGATCGTTCTCAAATTTCATACTTATGTAAGTTCCCCGTGGTGTTAGGCTATGCATGTTACCTTTATAGACCGTTCAGATATATGAAATGGCCGACAGGTGACCATCTTAAAGTTTGGAAGTTAGGCTTGTTATTGCTTTTTCTCAAAGTAATGGTGTACTCTTTTTCAGATTATATATGCTCGTCCCCTTTCGTATCTTGTTCATTATACTTTTGGTATTTCAGTGAGGTACATGTAGCACTCTTAAGCATATATATAGTGAGATAGCACTATAAAGTCGGCATCAGATACGCGCTATCACAAGGAGGCAAATACATCATCTTACCCTGTCTCCATCACACACACACACACACACAAGCACGCTCCCATTACACACATGGAGGCACGTCCTTTAATGACCTGATCTTTTAATAGGTCGTGAAAAAAACCTAGAGGCCCAATATGCCTGCATCGCCCACCTGGTTTTAATTTCACAATTATTACTGTAAAAGGGGATATAAATAAAGATACAGGCAGGTAATCAAGTGTTTTAACTCAAAATCATTCAAAAGAACCTGTTAGAAGATTTAAACACAAGTGACCCCTGTGACGTTGAAAGTCAAACAAGGACATTAAGTTAAACAATTTGTATAACCCTTCATCCCAGAATGTCACTAGCCAAATACAACACCCTATACCTTTTGTTAATTGAGAAGATTTAGACATAAATGACCTTGGAAGTGTGTCAATGTCATTCACATGGAAATTTGGTAGTTCTTCATCTCAGCATGCTACTGGTTTCATATCACTATCCTTTGCATTTTTGTTTTCAAGAAGAAGTCGTTTAACGTAAAAATGGCTGATCAGCGGCCATCTTGGATTTGACAATAAAGACGTAATTATGGTTATTTCTCAGAAAGTCCTGGATATTTTGACAGTTACGGTTTGTTATCGTTACTATTCAGAAAGTACAGAAGTTATTTTTAAATGGTTTTCTTTGGTCTTTGGCTCTGCTTGTTTACTTTTTAGACAGGAAAAACGAAACCGCCAACATTCAACCTTTTTGGATTTCGAAGGTTAAGAATCGTTATCGATGATAAAGAAGTGTTATGGGTATTTCTGAAAGTACATGTGGGATCGTTCTCAAGTTTGATAAGTTGGCCTCCTTAGTCTTTAGTTTCACATGTGAACTTTTGAGAATGACTGCAAAAACAAAATTATTGACTGATGGCTATCTTTGAGTGTGACCGTTAAGTCTTGTTTCTTCTATTTCTCATAGAGAACTGAAGGAATCTTGTTCAAATTTAATGTGTAGGTTCTCCTTGCTAAATGTTCTCACGGCCCTTTTGATCGTTCATCCCTCATTGACAGCACTTCTTTTTATACATGAATAACAGATTTGTAGCAATTTGCCTAATTATTCCACTCTTATACAATTATATTTTTCATATTGGTAAAGAACATATGATTTTGCGAGGTTTAAGATAATGTACGAGATTCCCGTTTAGGACCTCCAACATTTGACCGAATAATAGTAAGAAGGTAAAAGATCACCGGTTGTAGATCTAATAAAGATCCTTCTTTATGGTCGGCGCAAAGATCCTACTAGGATTTCTTTTAAGTTCTATAAAATTGATTAGTTGCAATATACATGCATCCGATAAATGTTATACAGGCAATAGTAAGTTTCCGTGTTCAGTCAAGATATTAACAAACATTGTAAAATTGTGTAATAAATACAATATGATTACCATTCAGATGACACCGAGGTAAAAGTTCGTTTAGTGGATGGCACATCTAATGGAACGGGACATGTTGAAGTTCATTACAGCAGCATTTGGGGAAGTGTATGTTGGAACGGCTTTTACGACAGGGAGGCTGAGGTCGTATGTAGAATGCTTGGATACAGGTATATTAAAGTTAAGATTGTATTTATTATGTATATGCGTCTGCATGTGTGAATTGGTTTTATTTTATAGGGTTTAACGTCTTATTAACAGCTAGGGTCAGGTTTGAGGAAAGTTATATTTCGTGAGCTATCTTTAAGGGACCACTTACAATACCATAAGGGATCTGAGGTAATCAATCAATTACACACACATGTTTCGAAGTATGAAAGAAGTAATAAAGATATAGTTAATCGTAAAGGGAAAGATGTTTTAATTAGATTTTACATAGATGTACATCCATACAAACAACCAATTGTTTGCTGTTTTTTTCAGCAATGGTGTTGCCTATGGGGGTTCATTATTTTCTTTCACTAAACTACCAACATGGATGGAACAGATACAGTGTAATGGTACAGAGACAAATATTGCAGACTGTCCGTTCGGTGGATGGGGACAGATATCATCTTTGGGTATAGCGACTGCCCTCTGTTATAATGATTTGCAGGGTGAGTTTCTTACTCAATGAAAAACATTGATGAAATGATCAAATCGATTTACAACATGTAGTTTTTCGTTAACCTTATTCGTATAAAACATATATCGGGTAACGAATAGAAAACTGTAACACTGACGAAGCAGTACTTAATAAACGCCAACTTCAGTGCTAAGGACACAACAATTTTGAACTTTAGTAGTTGTTGACTAAATTTTCCTCCATCATGATTTTAGCTAGTGACGAGCAACAAGGGGTCCGCCTCATGAATGATGTGTCCAACACCTCCGGCTCTGTAGAGATTATGTACGGTGGACAGTGGTCTATAGTGTGTGGGAAGAACTGGGATGATATTGAAGCTGGAATCGTCTGTCGAATGCTTGGATACGGGTATAAAGCACATACAATAGTAGCATATTTATGATGATATTCTTTAACGGTGAATACAACTTAAACCGAAACGAACCCCCCAAAAGAAAAACATCACCAATACAGGCCAGTTATTGCATCTGATTTATTTTAAAAACCTAGATTCCCATGATGTTTTAACGGTCCATCCAATCGACAATGTTTGACACTATGGGCCAAACAGTACTTAAAACGATATTTACACAAAGAGATACATTGTCATCAATCCTTCACTAGCATGCTCAATGCTGGTTTGGTTTTGGTTTTATAGGATTTAACGTCTGATTAAGGTCATTTAAGGACGTGCCTCCAAGTAAGGTATGCATTCATGTTACGGCAAATGGGGATAATTGTTACTTTGTAGAGGTTAATCAAGACGGAAGAGATCATTACTTCTTGATTTGATAATGTTTAACCTTCTATAAACAGCTTTAAGGACATTTGGGATCGTTATATTTTCTTTCTTATTTCTAACAACCGTTTTGTTTCTAATGCCTCGTTGGCAATACCCCAAGTTGTGGCCAGGCTGGAACACATACCTTATTTCTTAAAAATGCAACGATTATTGCTTTGCCCTGATTAACGTTCGGCATTAGTTGTAATTACAACTGGGTGTTAGTGTAATGTGACCAGGTGGAATACTTTGAGTATATTTGTGTGATAACACTCTTAGGCCGGAATCAGATCTGCATGGCTGCGTTTGGTTACTACAGTATAACCTGTCTAAAATAGTCCCTGTCAAATCCGGATCCCTGTCTTAAACGGCTGTGGTCCCTATATAATCAAAGTAATTAAACTCTGTATAAACCGGACCCTGTTCATTCCGAAAACCGACGGTGTTTCACAAAAGTTGGCATAGTAATCCATCTAAAACTAAAAACAAATTGTTCATTCCGGTCCTGAAATTTCCCTCGGCCAGCTACAATCTAAAGCAAACACATTCTAAACAAATTAGCGCTATCAAATGTTGGGTCGCCAATCATTTGTATTATATACTGTATATTTTGTTAATAATTAAACGTTGCAATTAATTCATTTCTCTGTTGTTTATGTTGACATACATGTATACAGATCGTATGCAAAACACGACATTTATGCATTTTCAAAAAATGACATGCCGATGCTGCATAAATCGGATACCTGTGTAAACCGGACAAATAGTTTGGTCCTGGTGACATCTGGTTTAGACAGCTAATACTGTACCTATATTACGAACATTTATATGCTACAAAACCAAGATTAGCCATGCTTGTAATCAATCTTTAGCAGTCAAGCATTTGTTCATCACGTGTTTTATATCTTTTAAATGCAAGTTTACTGCTTTCCAGAAACGGAACTGCACAATCTTATGCATCTTACCATTGGGATTCGAGAGAAGACATGAAATTGAAGATACATGTCAACTGTGTTGGATCAGAGACAAGTCTTTACAACTGTAGATTTAGCGACGTCCTTGAATACTGTGACATGGATGGCAGAGCAGGTGTTTCCTGCTCGGGAGCTCTAGGTAATTTTTAATTCAATTTCTGATAACTTTTTCCTTTCATAACCTGTCAACACCACACGTTCGCCCAAGTTGATGGTAGGATTTTCACCCTTACCAAGACGAACCGAAGTCTCATTTTTTTTATCCCTGTACATGTGAAAGGTAAGAGTTGCTATGGTTAGTTATATCATTTTGATCAGACCAACGTGTTAAAGGTAGAACTATTTTAATTGGGGTTTAACATCCTCGCAACAACCACGGTCGTATAAGGACGGGTGCCAATAGGGAGACATCACCGGGAAGAGAAACTAGACATACAACGAAAGAGGACAGGAACAATAGGAAACGAAGAAGTCCTCAAGTTATGCAATAAAGCTTGCGCCCACATTAGTCGCCTGTTGATGTAAACATGCAGTGGGATACAACAGGTCTATTTTTGGTTTATGTAATGTCCCTTGAAAAGAAGACAAAGTAGAAACCGGGGGGGGG